ACAAAAGATAACAACCACTAATAAAGACACTGCAAAAGTATACCCAAGGAAATATTGAACAAAACTATCTGCTATCAAGACGTGTAACAAATGTTCATGAGTTTATTTTGTTGAACAACCTTGGAATGTTGTGGAAGGGATTCTTAAGGATTCTCCCCAACACTAAGTAGTAAAATTCTTTGAGCTAAAGTTAATGGAGAGACAATTTAGAAGGTCTATGGAAAGTTTATATCTACCAAGGCTTCCATCTAGAAGATGAAGAATCCAAACATACTCATTTTACAGTTTTGAGACACTCCCCAAGATGGTTGGTCCCAGTGACTCCTAATTACCAAATTCCTGTCAGTACAACTGAAAAGAACTGCAAGGCTTAACTAAGAGCTGCTAAGATGAACATGTTTTAGATACAGGGGACTGCCATGTGTAACTCCTAGCAAAGGAACTGCATAATTTCCTACAAGAGAAGACTTGGACAAAAACTGAATACAGAAAAAAACCCCTCTTTCTACTTTTTTTTTTTTTTTACTTCTGGAGTGACTGAACACTAAAATAAGGTGCCCAGGGAGGCTACAGCACCTCCATCCTTGGATATAACCAAAACTCAGCTGGAGAAAGTCCTGAGCAATTTGTTCCATGTGATCTTACTCTGAGCAGGGGCACTGGACTGGCAATCTCCAGAATTCTCATACAGTTTTATCCTTCTGTAGTTCCACTGATTAATGTAAGAGCACACAATCATTGGACGTACTGCAAAACCAAGCTTTCAGGTGCTCAAGTTGCTCTAACATGATAGAGAGCATTATCAGAAAATTTAAGCATAAGTGAATTTTGTGGAGTTAAGAGAATAGCTACTGACTTATGTCCTTGTAACTCCACTATCTGCTGTGGATATGTGCATATGTTTATTTCCCTAGAAAATACCAGAAGCCACTCTGGGATACTAACACAACTTCTTCAGCTTAGGGAGTCAAACCACTCATGAGACTTCTGCCACAACTGGTGCTACAGTGATGTCCTCCATATCCACCCAAAAGGCAGAAACAATGGAATCCAAATATCTTTTGGCGGAATAGAAGACAGTGCTTGGCAGATGCTTCTGTCAGAAGGGAATCTCAAACCCGGATCCAGCTTCTGCAGTACCACAGTTGATCTCATTAAGTTAAACTGTCATTGAGTTCTTTTGCGCATTTATACTTTTTCATTACAGCAAACAACCAATGAAAAAAATCTTAATTAAAACAACAGTGAAGATTACTGTTAAAACTGTTAAACATAATTAAAGATATTCTATTACTCACCATCAAATCTTTCACTCTGTTGCTTAGCTGATCAATAAATAATATTGGAAGGTAATGCACTGTCTTCCCCAACTGAACCCTAGGATGTTTAAACATGGATTTTATGACTGCAGTGATCTAAAAAGCAAACTACTTTTATTCAAATTAGCACTCATTCATCACTTTCAGATCTACCCACGTAGATATTTCCCACCATCTTTTTCGGCACATTTTCTTTTAATGCACAGCAAGAAATTAGCCACTGGCCTAGAATCTTTCTCTGAAAGATATCTGCATTAAAAATGTTTGTTTATTTTTACTCTTCTTTAGAAAGACAGAATAAGCAAATAAAAAGACAAATGAAATTGGCTGTGATGATGCTGAAGCTTTTGCATTACCGGGGTTGAGGAAATCTACAAGCCTGTGGAAGAGAAGCATGCTGAAGTTTACTAGCATATATTTGTATCCTTTGCCTCAAGTATCCTGCTCATATTGCAACAATAACAACTCTCCACCAACTCCCCCACTCCTCTGCACCTGGCAGGTCAGTCTTCTATTGGGTCAGCAACCTCACATGCAGTAGCA